TGGTGGTAAAGACACTTTTTTCTCTTACCCTGGACAGGTGTACCGCACTGTTACTGGTGTGAAATTTCCTTGTCCCACCCTAGGGTTGAGACGGGGGGATTCCCCTGAATTTAGCCTGAGACGTTAACATTACATTGTGTACATGATACACAATGGGAGAACAGGGTAAGAGAAAAAGAATCATTCACCACTTGTGGGTGAGATAGGGTAATCTCAACTCTCGGGAAAAGATTCTTAAGTTGCTAAACACTAGGCAAAGCCTCGTGTTTGGCAACTTAAGAATCTTCCCCCTCGGGTTGAGATTCCCCTATCTCACCCACAAGGGGGTGAGAGATTCTATTAACCCTTCGTTGTATTCTATAAAAATAACGTATTATTCTTTTTATTTCTAAATATTTTTTAGGTTGGTAAGTATGAATTGTAGTCTATTTGTATCATCCACAAGGTGGCGCACACTGAGACGTCGATGTTTTCATTATATATTTAAGGGTGCTGAGAGCGTAAGTGAGCGTAACCCCTGGAGTACCGAGGATGGGTTTTACACATCTTTGGAAGCACCTTGTCATTTCGTACATATTATAACACCAAACATCACATACACTTATAGCGTGTCCGAAATGTCTTCGATTTTAAATGTACATTGCCAACTCGTACATTTTTTTACGCCTTTGTGTATATACGCTGATAGCAAATCCAAATCGACTTCGATTTTAAATGTAGTTGTATACATATGCATACAGCGTATCCGAATGGACTTCGATATATATTGTTTATTGCCAACTCGTGCATATGTTAAGCCTTTGTGTACACAGGCTTAATTCACTTGTCATTTATCTGATGTAGTTGACGGAGTACATACCGTACTAGTCATCGAAACGTCACACATAAACACTTACTGGTTGTGATACATAACCTTTCCACAATATCATTATTTTGACCTTTATGCTTATGTGTCGTCAGCATTTTTTTTTAATTTCTCCAATGACAAACTAACTTTTATGTAAATGCTTTCTGGCTTTACTTTCGTAGTCAGTATTCCACAGAACTTTCCGAATTCATCTAACTTCCCACAGTATCTCTGCATAATGTTCATTAACAAATGGAATATTTTAAAGATATCTGCATTCAAATCTATCATTATACGTGGAATTATTAGAGAGGAAAAGAGGATAATATTGACTGCTAAATTGGCTTACTTTAACAGCAGCGTTAGAATCCAGTAGTAATAAGAAGTAGTATGATCTTTGTCCTGCCCTTTGTGTTGTGTCATTGGCTAATTTTTATGTCCTGACAAAGTGGCGTCTACCTCAAAAATGTAATCCTCGTCTTTGTCTTATTGCTTCTCCGACCATATTTATGTACGTTTGACTTCCCATACTATAAACTACTATTCTTCATAGACAACTGAAGGAAATCATTCGTTCTCTTATTATGAGAGTTTTTAATTTCCAAGAGATGCAAACAGCGTCATAATTATGTAGCCGGTTCCAATGCAAGGGCCATTAAAATACCACTCAACACCGCTTATGGTTCAATTTGGTTGTTTATTGCGCGCAAATTCCCTGATTAACGCAAATCTACAAATGACAAATACAAACCATAAATACACAATAGGTGCATGCCATAAATGTATAAATGTAGTTGTAAATTATTTCGTAGTTTATTCTGTAAAAATAAGTAGAAAAAGGCCAAACGGAAATATGCTGAAGATGATATCGTGAGAATGAAAAAGTTCCCGGTTAAAATATCTTTCGTTTGCAGGATATTCCAGTAAACTGTTGGTATTCCTTTTTGAACAAGCTGCGCCCCTCCTGGCCGATTTATTTTTGTTTTCAAATGGGCCTGATAAATATTATTCAATTTCAGTTCCAGATGTATCCACTATGTGGTTTCTGTTAAAACAAGACATTTATTGACCACGTCTATCGTATACATCCACCTGTGTTAGAAATCAAGGACACTGCAGACTCTTCTACTTCAGCCGCTTTCCTCGATCTTTAGTTTCATCATGACTAACATGGACGCCTTAGCATTATTAAGCTGTACGATAAGCCTGATGATTTCGATTTAGATAGTGAACTTTCTTTTTCTTGATATTAACATCCATAATTCCTCAAATACGCCATTTACATGTCACAGTTAGTTTGGTATTCAAGAATATCATGACTCCCGTGATAGATATTGACTGTGGATGGACAAACTTACAACACAGATATTCGAGATATCCAGGTTGATGCATTCTCGATACTCCAGTGTTGAAGCTCACCTTTGCTCTCTGCACCCCTGGAATATGTCATAGCAGAATTGAAGGCACACGGCTAGCTATTTGATTGGTGTCAGGTGAAAAAACCTGACCAATCATAAGGCTGATACTTATCCATTGCAGATAACAAAGAAGCGATACCCAACTTCAAAGCCAATAATTTTTACCGTTACACGACCGCGAGATTCTTTTGATGTACATCAAAGGATCAAACTAGTCTTCCTGTCTCATTCACAAGGCGGTACACACTGAGCCTTCGATTTTTCTATGACATATTCCAGGGGTGCAGAGATCGATAGTGAGCTTAACCCATGGAGTATCGAGGATGAGGTTGATGAGGATTATGGGCTGGTTTTCCTGCCGCCATCATGAATCGATTGGGACATATTTGAATTCTTTGCGCGATACGACGGTCGACATTTTTGTTAATGCCGTTGCGTATTAGGGTTCCTTGTGGTGTCGCCGCTTTCTCGATTTCCACGTAGAGAACGTGACATTTTTTAGATTTGATCTAGATACACATGGGGTGTTATCGATGAAGCGGAGGAATATTTCCCTCATGCTTTGTTTGCCTTTTTTGTTTGGAATGGTCTTCACATATGAATATATTTGTTCATAATTCTGCCGTAGTTAATCCATTTTGAGTTCAAATTATGTTTTTTCAACACTTCACTTTCGTGTATATAAATATCAAAGATAACATAACCACAGGAGTTCTTATGATCGACATTTCGTTTATTATTGATTAGGACAGATATGATCGATTGATTTAAAAGAATCAACATAACCTCGGATATATATCAGTTCTCACTCTCTTTGAAGTATATTTAGTATTATCAAGAGTTATTTCTCCTTATTTCATTCACAATAATTAAGTTCCATATCAAATGCGCTTCACAAAACTCGTCATTTGAGCGACAATTAAATCAAAATGAAAACACCCCAAAACACACGAAATATATTAATCTCATGAAACAGAAAAAAAATCACTATTCATCGTTTTATCATCTTTCATTATAAACACCTGTCTATACAAATTAAAGTTTTCGACTGCACCAGTTTCCATTGTATTATATCAACTGATTTTATTGTGAAATCACATTTAGACAATGATATGTCTTACATCATATCATTCACTACATATACAAAGGCGCGCACACATCTATCACACTTCCCATAACACACATATATACATACATATATGCATGTCCAAGAATCGTAATTTAATTTTCATTTGTTATGAGATTGGTGAGAAAAACTAAGAAGGAATTTCATCGATATTACATGAAAATATCTTACTTCATTTTCCTATTTTTGACGTCATATGTGACTTACCGACGATGTCATTATCAAATGATAATATTTACACGTGAAAACATGGAATTAATATAACAAAACATAATATTTACACGTGGAAACATGGGATTAATATAACAAAACATAATATTTAAACGTGAAAACATGGGATTGATATAACAAAACATAATATTTAAACGTGAAAACATGGGATTAATATAACAAAACATAATATTCACACGGGAGAGATAATATGATTTATTGTAAATCAACATAATTCTGAATGCTTGTTCAGTGGTTTATAAACTGTTCATTGCAAACTCACACCTGTATATTGCAACGGTTATCATCAGATCATCAACGCCTAGATGAAAGTTAAGACGTAACTTGACGTCAGTATGACATCACAGTACAAACAAATTAAAACAATCCAATAAAACAGTGGTATATGTAGGAAACATAAAACACAACTTACAAAAATATTGTAATACATTAAATGTTTGATACTACAGCTTTTTGATCAATATTCTATCTCAACAAACTGTCGTGATATATATATGTTCAGACCAGCGTTGTTTTGTTCAATGTCTGACCAGCTCTTCACTAGGATTTAAGGAGTCTGCCAAGTTCTTAAATGAACTTCAAAACGAGGCATATTCATAGTTCAATGTCATTGAGATAGAGAAACAAAAAATACGTGTATTGCTATCATATTGAAAGTTACATATGAAAACAACACACTCTGTACTGTACTCATTATTTTTAGTCCTGTTAAAAACAAATCACTTTCACAGTATAAAAAATATATATTAAATGCGTAACACAAAACCATAACAAAATGGTCATTAAACAAATAGTTTTACGTATATTTTCATTTGAGGAAAATCATTAAAGATATCTTCACGTGTTGATAGTTTATATGATATAGAAAACTATATTACACTTTGAAAATGTTCCGTTTCTGGAATCATTTATGTCTTTGTCGACTATGAAGTTTTGCAGCATTAAAAACCGTCTTAACATTGTTGTGCTGAAATATTAACCTACAAAAGTCAGCTTGTTAAGAATGTATAATAGTGTCTAAATAATCATATCAATAATATTTATAACGAATATTAGATATTCAGAATCAATTTTTAGGCACTTAGTTCAATGTTATTGTATTTCAAAACACCTTTGACACTGACTTGTGGTTCAATAATGTTCACACCAACGGATTTCATTGCTTCGGAATTGCATTCAAATAAATATACACAAGTATACGTTATGCTAAATCTATTTGTCAAACAGAACACAAACACAGAAAACAAATGTCAACTTCACCTTCCTGATTGCCTGTAAATTAACTCGTAATAATGAAGAAAACAATGGCTGTACACAAACAACAGTTATGTTGTATGATAATGTTCGTTTTCATATTTTCCTCGAAATTTGATACATGTGTACTTTTATATATGGATTTACACTCGTGTGTAAATAGTCCTCCGGATATATAATCTTTTCGGTACCAAGACGTACATCTGTCTTTAAAAGCCGGTCCGTACCTGTGAATGACAAAAATGTGGATGTTAAACGAAAAAAAACACGGGCTATCGGAATGATCTATTTATAGAAAATGATTAAAAAATATATTTAAGAACATTTACTTATTACACACGTTAAAGAAAATTATGTTTTTGTAATGTATCAGATCATTAAAGTCTAAACATTTACACTTTTTTATTCGATACGAATCGCAGACATACATGTATATATAATGAACTGTATGCCATTTGATGGGTAATATTACGGCTAAATTATTATAATAATCATTCTTGTGATAAGGGGAGGTACTATTCTGTTGTCAAGCATACTCACATCGGTGTTGTCATCGGACTTCTTAAGCTGGGCCCTTTTGATGTTATACTGTAACCAAAACAGAAATCGGACATCAAAATCGAGACACTTAATGATACCAGTAATCAAGGAGACAACACAACATCTGTAGAGGGCATTTAAGTGGTTTCTATTGGATACCATATATATTTTATATACAATGTAAAGTTTATAGTGTAAGGTATGTGTACAGTGTGTGATGCTATTTTTACTGACTCCAGTAGTAGTACATTATACTAACAGTGGTATAAGTGAAATGTACTGACTACAGTGTAGATTATTTTTATTGTGTATGAAGTTGTATGTACTGACTCCTGTGCAGATTATATTTATTGTGTATGAAGTTGTATGTACTGACTCCAGTGCAGATTATATTTATTGTGTATGAAGTGAAATGTACTGACCCCAGTGCAGATTATATTTATTGTGTATGAAGTTGCATGTACTGACTCCAGTGCAGATTATATTTATTGTGTATGAAGTTGTATGTACTGATTCCAGTGTATATTACATTTATTGTGTATGCCGTTATGTGTACTGACTCCAGTGCAGATTATATTTATTGTGTATGAAGTTGTATGTACTGACTCCAGTGTAGATTACATTTATTGTGTATGAAGTTGTATGTACTTGCTCCAGTGCAGATTATGTTTATTGTGTATGGAGTTGTATGTACTGGCTCCAGTGCAGAATATGTTTAATGTGTATGAAGGTGTATGTACTGACTCCAGTGTAGATTACATTTAATGTGTATGAAGTTGTATGTACTTGCTCCAGTGCAGATTATATTTATTCTGTATGAAGTTGTATGTTCTTGCTCCAGTGCAGATTATCTTTATTGTGTATGAAGTTGGATGTACTGACTCCAGTGGAGATTACATTTAATGTGTATGAGGTTGTATGTACTGACTCAAGTGCAGATTATATTTATTGTGTATGATGTTGAATGTACTGACTCCAGTGCAGATTATATTTATTGTGTATGAAGTTGTATGTACTGACTCCAGTGCAGATTACATTTAATGTGTATGAAGTTGTATGTACTGACTCCAGTAGTACATTATATTCACTGCGTATGTACCTACTACAGTAGTGGCTATATTTACAGTATTAGGAAATATATTTCCTGTCCTCTCTAGAAGCACATTATATCCATAGTTACAGATATATGGGACGGGTAAGCTGTCACCTAAAATGCGTTTTCATATTTTACCTGATAATTTACATCGTCGAAACGTGTGTTCAGTTTAGCGTATACGTCAGCACTTTCGTCCGGGTTCCAAGCCCTCTCGCGTGACCCATTTACTGCACGTGATCCGTTGTTAGCACGTGAACCATTTGTAGCATGCGCACCAGTCCGATAGTGAAGGTCACTGTCTGCTTCAATGTACTCTTTGTAATCATACGCCTTATTTTCGTATCCCTGGCAAAAAGAAAAACGCCTGGGTTAAGTAGAGGATGATGTAAACTTGATGTTATTATGCACTGCACGGTTCCTGATCAATGACTTCTATTAACCGGCCTTATGAGTTGATTTTGTTAATAGGAGTACACGACACTAAATGTTTTCATATACTGTACTTTCATTCCGGTATGGTGTCATTATTTAGTGACATGCATCTTGTGGAATCTTCATGTTTAATGTGCCCAAACTTCGTTATTTATTAGAAAGCATCCGAGGGATAATTTTCAAAATAACTGATTTTTGACATTTACATTTATTTTACAATTACTTGTTTCACAATTAAACAGATCACAAAATTAAAAAAAAGAATAATGGGTAATTAACTTAAACATCAGCCAACGACCATAAACGCAAAAAGACAAATGCACTGTAGCGCTGACACACAGGAGAAGAACAGACCACAGACAAAACACCAAAGGAAAAATATACCGCAGCTTGAAAAACGTCAATGTAAAAGTAAAATTGTTGCAAAGTCGTGGTTTGTGTTCACTGGTTGGTAAACATCTACTTGTAAGGTTGTTGGCTGTGTTCACTAGTTGGTAAACATTTACTTGTAAGGTTGTTGGCTGTGTTCACTAGTTGGTAAACATTTACTTGTAAGGTTGTTAGTTGTGTGTTGTTTGTTTCTAACGTCTACATTTAAACGTTCACATTGGTCTACAGATTAACGAGATCAACACCAACAGAGAACGAAATATCATAAAATTGTGTTCCTTCGTCATTTGTGATTCTATATCATTCATATTTAATAATCACCATGAATACAATACACCAGTGTTTGGTATTCCGCTGGTTAAGAATATGAACTACTTGTCGTAATTGTACTGTATCATATATCATAAAGTATTTATTGTATATTTAGTATTAGACATTGTATACCTGTGAGGTGCCCGAGTATGACTTGTCGTCAGAATGTATCAGTCCCTGATAAGTTCGAGCTGAAGATCTATGATGAGGTTCCTGGAGGTCCATGTAATGCAGCTCACTACCATTTGATCCACTGGTATAAACAAAGCAGAATTGTACACCAATAAAGTAATATATGCAGTTTTGTTAACTTGGTTGTTTGACACGCTATACACTTACGCCTTACTAAGCCAACATGTTTTATTATTAATTTCGTTAAACGTTGGATAACGCAGAGTTTTGCCCCATGGTTTGTCCTTAACTCAAGGAATTAACCTCCGATTAAACTTATTCAAGGATATCTGCAGAGTCATCAGTAAGATTAGTACTTGTATAATGTATATAGCGAGGGTAACTTTACCCCTGGAACAGTGTCAACGAACCCCCCCCCCTCCCCCCCCCAACAAATCTCTAAAATATACATAACGCATATACTTGAGTAAACGATACCGATGCTACGGTGATGCCGTTTCTTCTTACAGTGAAACAAACACATTTCATAAGTGGGTATTTTGTTAATCAATATTTGTGCGATGATTTTTCTTTTATGTGTGTTTTTTGTAATCTTTTTATTTTTCCAAATATTTTTCAAATCACAGTACATCAACATATATTCTCACACTCGAACATTAACTGACACATATGGTATAATAAAAACAATCATCATCATAAAATATTCATCACCGTAATATAATCATCATCATCTGTAATAATCAAAAATGCTATCTTAAACTAACACTGTTCTATTTAGGAACGAAATGTAGGGTGATATTGAGGTAAAGTTACGGTCATATTTAAGAAACGGACTGTAAGATGCTAAAACGATTACCGTAAGTTTTGTTCATTTTAAGAACAGACTTCTTGATACTATAAAGGCCACTTATTTCATCATCATCATAACAAACACTGTTTAAGCGAGAAATATTGTATAACAGTAATTCATTTCAATATTGTTCATTTGAAACTACTAAAGATATTGCGATATTTTCTAATATAATTCTTTTCAGATTTATAGTGCCTTTCATTAAATATCTACGTCCGTATTATTGTTTCTTAAAACCTTCTAAAGCTTCTATTACCTAAACCACACATTCCTATTAGTGGATTTTGTAAAGGAAAGACATGCTGCTTTTTAAAGTCGTTTTACGCTGGCTTAACATATTGACCAGATGACGGGGAAATAAACAGCGTGTCGACCTCACGTGCTCGAGTTTCCCTGTCCTAGTCTTATTAAGATGCTCTCTACGACAAATGGAGAAGAGCAAACCCATCTGAGTAGATTGAGGCAGACGACAAAGTTGATTGAGGCAGACGACAAAGAAGATTGAGGCAGACGACAAAGTAGATTGAGGCAGACGACAAAGTAGATTGAGGCAGATAACAAAGTAGATTGAGGCAGACGACAAAGTAGATTGAGGCAGACGACAACAATGTCTTGTCTACCTGACTAGCATTGCTAACGTTTTATTGTTTTATATAAGATATTGTTTACTCTTGTTGTAGAGAAACACGATTTTATTGATCAATCATGTTTCACCCGAAAACTATATGTATATTACCTTCCGTATGAAGTATCTAATGCACTTTTATGTTATTCTTTATTTTGACTAAAAGTACTTACTATTTATTGTAACTATTGGTCCGTTTTTTCCGCATACAGGTGATGATAATGACAAAAACAAGGATGACAATGATGGCCCCAGCACAACCACCAGCGATAGCAAGAATCATCTGCCAAGTCATCTCTTTCGTCTCACATTTCTCACCTCCGTATTGGTAAAACGTGTCAGTGACGCAGCTGAGCAAACAGAAATCATAACAATGTAGTTAAAGGGTTACTCTTAACAATTCAAACAACACCGCATTAATGTGCAGTCTATCTAAGCAAATTATCACAAGAAATGGTTTCCTGGTGATATAGTTTTCCGACGTTTTTCAAGGAATGCAATCATCGATTTAGAAGTTGTTATTAATATTCAATATAAGTGTTATTACATTCAACCATATTACAAAAATCAACACGACATAAAGAAAATATAACTTTGTTTTCAGATTTACGTTTTTACATCAGTATAATTCGTTTCTTTTCTATTCAATTCAATGTCAAAGTCAATAGAGTGTAAACAAATAAACCATTGTTGATTTCTGCTCAATAGGTGTTTATGTACAAGAATCGTTACCTGCATTTTGTTGCATGCACACTGGTATCATATCCTACTTCTACATAGCAGTCCCCGTGAGCTCCACAATCACTGTCAAAAGCGCTCGTGTCACACATGAAGTAACAATTCGATTTGTTTGAAGATTTTTCTGAACATTTATATCCCGAGGGACAATAGTTAGTAGACTGACACACATCCGATGTTTGCTTTTTAACTAATAAGAAAAACAGAAAAAATAAAATAAAAGTATGTACGTATGTAACAGTGTAATCAATCCACCTTGGTTCCGAACAAGTGACACAACTCGATTACTGAGATAATTGACACTATGAAATTTCAGTAGGAAAAGAAAAACCCCTCAAAACAACATTTATGATTTTGTATTTTTACTGTTATTTTAAAGATACATTTAATGTTCTTTAATGATACCAACATTCCCTTTCCTTAAAAATACATTGTATTGAAATGTATTCCTCCAATGGCTCATTGAGCAATATTCCGTATTGGTATAACGTCATACGTCTCATATCAACACTTACACAGGCTTATAAATCATATAATTGTTACGCTGAATCCAACAAACCTATGTTTTTATATTACCACACTATTGAGGAAGTTGGAAGTCTAGATATGACTCTTAATTTTTTTTCTCTCTCTAAAATGTTATCGATTCCAATGGAATTAATATAACCTGTCAAAATTATTGTCACTACATGTATATCAAATCAATTCCATATGATTTGCCACTAATAACCATCGGGCTGTATGGTATCTCCCCTTTGATGTTTGCTGGCAATATATATTACGCACTTCAATAGTTTTTACTTGTAAATAGTATTTCTTTGTCATTTTACTATGTTGAAATGAAAATTTGCTTTTTTATTGCGACTTCAAAATAAATATCTAAAGTAGTTTCTGTCCATTTCAAAGCTGATCCTGATCTTGGATTGGTCAGTTTAAAATTTGATAAAATAACATGTTCCATGGCAGCTTCACGGTTGAAACACTACCAACATATATTTAAACTTACAATAAGTATTCTACTTTTAAGTATGTTAATCTTATAGAAATGTATTCGATTTATCTTTTGGGTCATGATATGACAATCTAAAATTAGATTACATTAGACTTGACTGTTAATTAAAAAGGGATGCATGAATTATCATGACTGAATTCTTCTGGATAAGACATAAAATTTGTTTTTCTTGTGTGTGTGCGACTGTTTGTGAAAAATGCAAGATTGTCAAAATGACACTGTTTGTATAAAGCCATCAAATTTGATTAACGTACCTTTATCAACGATTCCATCGATATCATTATCAGTAACATTTATTTTCCCAGTACTGTTTAAACTTCGCAGTACTGTCTCTGTTGCGTTATTGATGGAATGTTGGGAGGTTGCCGGAACTGTCGCCTTGATATCATATGGTCGTTCTTCTGGCGTGCTCCTATAACGTACAAATACATATATTACTGACAACATTTCTACCTTGAACAATCTAATAAGCAGATGGACATTTATTTCCCGTTAATCGTATTGCATGTCTTAGGTAAATTCATCAACAAATCAGAAATGCTGACGTCATGTAGGTGGAATTTTTTGTACTTTTCGTATTATAATGAATATAAACAGGTTTTGAATATTAAACAATTTTACAAAATTGTCAGACTTGTTAACCTCGAGGCACTAGTAGGAATTTAATACAAAACAGTAAATGGAACCAGACGTAGTCATAGTCAACACACCTTTTTCGTCGTCTTCTGTCGGTATCGCAACTGAAGTGAAGAGAGAAAACAGATAAGTAAAGAAAGGGTTGTTAGACTGTTTAATCAATGTTAAATCACATATTTTGATGACGTATTCATACAAGGATAAATAACGTTTAACTATAATGCAGATGTTCTTCATGTTCTATTTCACATAAAACATGTGGCATGTGTAAGATTCATGTGAACGGAAACAAAGTCTGTAAGTAACCGTTGGTTAAACTATGGAGCTGACTAGGGACTAAAATATGATGTGTTTAATAATGGAAACACATGCACAAAACAACTGTCGAAAAATCATAGATAAGTGAATAGTTAAATGAGATGACGTAGCTTTCAATCGTTTGGAACGAATGTTGTAGTGCGATTTAAGTTTAATAGATGTTTAAGTAGCAATAGCGTACAACATTAAGAACACCCTTCAATGTCTTCTATGGAGAGGAGACTTACACTAGTCAACTCAGTAGTCATATAACTAATACAGCAGACCAATGTTTTACAAGTACATATCTTATATATCTATAAAATTATGTTAATATAAAATGTCTTTAATGACCAAAGCATGTTCATATTCTATACAAAGTAAGGAATATATTACCCAATACCGCCTTCAGGGCTGAGAGTAACACTCCGAAATTCGGTACTGTTTTCGAAATACTGTTTTATCTGAAATAAAGAAAACAAATAGGTAAAAAATGTCGAATATATAAACGTTGCTTGAAGTAGATTAAAAGCGTTCGAAATCTTAGTTCGAAGGAAAAAACAGATTGATTTGATTGCAATATGTTAGATTTATAAAATCAAATCATGTAAAAAAAATAACACGTTCATAAATTTTACAATTACCAAACATTTGTTCCACATGTCAATCAACCTACTGGTCATTTACCCTGGAATGTGGTACTCATTTCAAAATTGTGCCTTTATATCAGCGTATTTTTTTGCAATATTATTAACTTAAAATAACATATCAAATTTGCACACCCTACAACGATGTTAGTAGTAGTTTTGTTTCCTATATCAACTTCTACTTATCCAAACATATTATGTCGACTGCTTTTGACAGTGAGAAAATAATCATATACGTAACTCACCTGCTTTTCGTTAAAGCCGTTACAGAAAAACGTTAGTGTGAACGACACCTCAAAAATGGCATTCTCTGTAACAAAGATAGCAACGGCGTTTAGGCATACACTCATACAAATCAATCATTAAATATATTTAAGTGTCACATGTTAATACATATATTAAAACAGGTATCTGAGAAATTTAAACATAAAACTATATTAACCTCCAGCCATTAATGACTTATGAGAAACTTTCAATCATATGAAAAAAAATAAAAAAAATCATAATTAGTTTCAAGTGACAATGTGTCTATTTTGTAACAACAATTGGTCGACTGGAGTATTTATTCACCCGATAATTACCCTCGGGTTTATAAGTATCGCTTGATTAACCAACCAAACATATATTAATAATATCATCATGAAATAGAGCAACACTTATTTACACTTCCCCGATAGAGCTGGAGATGTTGATATTCCGTCTTTTCGTATTGCAGAGTTATCTGCTCTTGATAGAAGGTATTGATTGTAACGTCATTTGTTTGTGAGAGTAACGTCATAATTTTTTGAGAAAACGACGCAATTTTCTCACACAAACTAATGACGAAACAATCAATATCTGTTCACAAGAGCAGATAACTCTGCAATACCAAAAGACGGAACACAGTCAGTGTAAACTACAAGGAAAATTGACGTTATCAAAACGCATCCTGTAGAATGTTTTTGACTTCTGTGACGTCAGTATTTAGTTACAACACGAAACATATTTCCCCAGCTATGTTTGGTACTAGTACTTATATATATATGTGTAATGTGTAATAAGTAATACTTACATATTGTATCATAGAATGCTATTTAATAGTATATGTTTATATAGTTGTCCATTCAAATGTATATGAATGAAATTATTTTGGTCAGTCTAAAGACAGGAATGGGGAATATTTTCATGAATTGTTTTGACGTTGAAGAATGCATTTAATAATATTTGTTGAGTACATTTAGCGGAATATAGCATTAGAATTCCAAACTACTGCACGAAATATAGATTTTTTGGAAAAGGCCGCCAACGTTTTTCTTTAAATTTTATTATTATTTAGTTATAATATATATGAATAATCCTCTTCCAAAAGAAAGGTTATGGTTTCTTAAACAACATCGATCGTTACCATAAGGCGTTTCTCATCAAAACGTTCTCTAGAAAATATACCCCTTTTAATACATCCAATCACGCACATAGACATTACAAATTGTTTATCCAAGAAGTCAGCTACATTTCCATAATATACATCTTAAAAAACCCGTTTTGTTAAGTTCAAAAAGAGTTAACTGAGATGCTCACCACAAGGAATATGGACAGAAAAAGCTTTCTTTGACGCGTAATATTTTCTTTATTCGAACTAAACTCTAACATATTAAGACCCCTAACCAACCGGTCTTTTGGGAAATACTCTTAACAGGTCAGGGCTAGATGTACTTATGTTTAAATGTGACATGTGACATGTCATCTGCCAAACAGTCGGAAAAGGCCACTTAGATTAAAATTTCGACGTATAACCACCAATACACCAGCGTGTCCTTCTACTAAACCATCCTCGATATTGCTTGGGTTACCCTCACTTACGTTCTGCAACCCTGGAATATATCGTGACGAAATCAAAGGCTCGGTATACGTTACCTTGTGGATGATTAAATTAGACTAGTCTTAACTTGATTGAAGGAATCGCGTGGCAGCATAACAATAAAATTGACTGACATTGAAGTCGGGTGCTTCTCCTCTATAATCTTCAAAGGACAGCCATCAGCCTGGCAAATTTTGCACCTGAACCCCCACCAGCCAAATAGCTTACCGCGTGTCTTCGGTCTTGTCATGACATAGTCCGGGCTGCAGAGAAAACAAGTGAGCTAAATCCCTGGGATATAGATGATGCTACCTAGCTGGATAATGAAACTATGGTTATGCTACTTTGATATTTACCAATATTTCCTGATACTGGTGGATATTTCACTGTAGTCGTCGTAGGCGTCTGTGTTGTTGGTGTTGTTGTAGTGGTTGGTGTTGTCGTTGGGGCCGTGGACGTCGGTGCAATAGAGGACATCGTAACCGCGTCTGACGCTGGTGGTTGTAATGACGTCATTGCGGTGCTGGATGCCGCAACAGATGCTGTGCTATTGGTTGTGACATTGATAGATGCGTCAACAGATGTTGTTAAACTGATTGAAAATGTACTGGTTTGTTCGTCTGTTTCATTACCCGAAAGAAATGAAGATGTTTCTGATACCGGGGTTGAACTTATAAGTGCCGAATCAGTGGTTGAACTGCCATCAGATATACCAGGCATACTACTGATGACAGACGTCGACATTGTTGTTGGTATCGTCGGTTCAGTGGAGCTGACGTCCGATGACACGGGGATAGCATTAGAGGAACTGATCCCACTCATAGTACTGTATTCCGTGGAATGTGTAACTGATGACTCCGGGGAGTTAGATAGGACACTCGAGTCCAATGTTGTTGATACCTGTGTACTTGTGGATGAACCCATTACTGATGTTGACATCATTCCTGAAGATGACAACGTAGACGACGGAAATTCATTCGTACCGCTGGTAACTGTTGACACGTTTTCGCTACCATAATCAGAATTAATGGAAGATGTCGATCCCGTTAGAGTAGACGATGCCGATGGCGATGAGACCTCATTTGACACAGCCGATGACGATGAAACACTGTTCACAGTAGATGGCAATATGGTCGCACTGTTAGTGTTACTCACTGTCAAAACACTGGTTGATGGTTCTGGCGTGTTGGTCGCGTTAACAGTTTCAACACTTGATGATACATCTGTTGTTGATGGTGACGACACTGTTGTCGCTATACACAAAGACGAGTGGAGTCCAATGACAACTGGAAAAGAATATATATATACACACATTAAAGGAATGCAAACAATTGAAATCATACAATGAAGTCTCAAAAAATGTTGAGATCTCTGAGGATCGATATTTGTCTGTTCTGTGTAGATGGCACTTCGAAGAAACAAAAGCTGATCTGCTGTGCACATTGGAATGTCTGCGTTGTTTCTGTTTACCCTTTCTACAGTTATTTTACGACCCTTTCTTCCTAGAGACGAGCCTACTGAGTTTCTTCATTATTTCTACTGAAAAAGCAACCAAATATTTCTTCTTTATCGCTACCGAAAAACCTAACAATTTTCGACTAAGAAACCAATCACTTTTCAATCTTATCTCTTTTGGGAAACCTGCCAGTTTTCTTCCTTATCTCTCGTGAGAAAGCTGTCAATATTCCACAGAAAATCTACTGAGACACAAACAAAACCTTTCCTTCCTTATCTCTTCTAAATAAAACTTCCATATTTCTTCTCTATTTCTACTGAGATATCTCTCAATTTTCTACCTTTCTACTGAGAAACCAACCAATTTTCTACTGTATTTCTGTCAAGGAACCTCAAATTGTCTGCCTTATTACCCTGTCTTATTGCAATGATGGGTGGTCTGCTAAGAAATCTATAGTTAAAATAATATAAAGAGAAATAAGAGCCATTTTGTGGTTCTCCCAAACTATATATTCGTGAAGGATAGTCTAGTCTTCAATATTCAACTTCATCTGCAAAATTGGTATTTTTGTATTTGTCCACTGTGGAGGGCACCCGACCTGCTAAATGGTTGGTCGTTCGTAAAGGCATCGATAAGTGAGTTACAAAAAAAATAAAACAGGAAATTAGAGCTAGTATGTGGTTCCCCAAAACCATTTTTACGACGAGGAAAGTTTTTCAAGTCTGATATATGTGTATAATGGCGATGGTCAACGTTGAAATACATGTAAAACCAGTAGGCCTAGCATAGAGATAAAATTTTCTCCATATATGGAAGCCATGAAAGAGATATAAAAGGGTGTTTTTGACGCATTATGTAAGTATTCAATCGCTCTAGGTGGTTTTTTTGTACGCAACGAGCGGTAATAAGGTACACTCGTCCATCCAGAGCGTCGTCGCGGCTTTTCTGTGGTGCCAGTTACTAGGAGAACATGGAGGGACCAACATGGATCTGCTGTCCCAATGGCAACACGTGGGATATTTTCCAATCTATCTTGTCTACCTTTTTTTCGGGCGGTGTTTCCCCATACACCCGTCCTCGTTTAACCCCAAGATAACAAACAAAAGTATGCGTCATCGCACTTCAACACATTCTGTATCATAATCTAGACAATAACCCTCCACCTGGTCGTACTATCCCGACAACGGGCTCAGGAAAAATGTCTTAGGAGATACGACCGAGTGTAAAGAACATAATTAATAGATTCTCATGTCTCAAGTGTTGTAATCGAAAAGGCAAATCAATTCTGATATTTCGTCGCTAGCACATACGAAAACCTCCATTTTCAGGGCCCCATTTTAGTCGCCTTTTGTAGTCATGTAATGAAATACGTTCCTGCATATTTTATTACAAAATAAGTATACACCTGTAGAAAATGATCTATAAAATCTGTAGGAGTTTCAAATCAATTGTTACATGCATAAAATGTTAGTTGTGCAACAGATGTTCAAGTTGTATCACTATTCTTTAAAGACAATGTTGAGGGGTTTAGCAATAGGGCATAGATATATATATATATGTAGAGTTTTCAAGCAATTTTTTATTACGAAATTTTGAAGAATAATTGATGTTACTTATGAATAATACTATGGTTATCTCTTCATTAATATGAGTTATTACTAATTCAAAAATATTAGTTTCTCTTTTTCTATTTCGACAAGGTTGAACAACAATTGGTACAAGTGATGAACAATATAATAAGTTTCCTTGTGTATTTCCACAATGTTGAGGCCAGTCCTCGAAATTATGCAGCTTTTATATGAATGATATTCTCTTTTGACAATTGAAAGGCTATATTACGTAATATTTGTTAGAGTTTTAAATAATTTAATGTTGTTTAAGACAGTTTTCGTATGATATATTACCAGAGTACCTGTAAACCCTTAGAACGTTTCGCTTTTGTCAGATCATGTTAAGGTATATATTATTTATACTTGTAGTCGTCTCAAAGCTGTTAGGTCATTTAGAGTGCTAGAGTATGATTTGTAGGACCTCCAAGAGCCTGCAGTTTATTTAAACGCTGTTAAGTTGTGATTTATTGATACTAGCAGGTGCTTCAAACATTTTGGTTTATTTATACCGTTGTTTGATAATGTATTTATAATTAAAATAAAAGAATATGAACCTTTATTTATTTTACAACAACTATGAAACAAGTTATTTCAACTTATATTAATCACTCACGTTGGCCCGGATGGAAGCGCGCGTGGGGTCTTAATGTGGGATTAAACCGGAGTACCCGGGGAAAACCCACGTGGTCGGGCAGGTGACCCTATACCTTTTCACGTCCGATCGGGGAATCGAACACCGGTCGCCTTGGTGAAAGGCGAGTGCGCTATCCATTGCACTATCCGATCATCCCTTATTCAATATTTTGATTTATTTACGCAATATTCATGTAAAATATATTACAGTTTGAGGCTTTGTAGAGATAAGACTTTGTTACACGACAACGTATTAATCTGAGCGGATTAGCTCCAGAAGACTATACCACAGATGTAGAGAGATAGGTGTATTAACAGATCGTGTGAACAAATACTTGACCACGTCAGCTGTCAGATCATGTGTTAGTGATTCTAACACTAATGGTATTCAATGGGTCTCCTGTTATGCTTTATCACATGACTGGCCAATTTTACTATGGCATACGGCCATGTCTTGAATATGGTATTTACACATGCATAATAAAACCATAATAAGCTGCGATTGGTCTAAAACGGTAGGAACAAATTCCATCACCACTAAAGCTATTACTTTTATTTACCACATGATACATTTACTGTTCTTTTAAATGAATGGAATGTTTTTTGTTGTTATTATTTTCATTGCGTTTAAAAATGTTCATTATTAAAAAAAACAAAAGAAAAAAACACTGGAACAACTTTGCACTGCACGGAACGATTATACTATAATCGGGACACTTTGGTTTTTAACTATATAGGGACAACTGGGAACACATTATAGTGTTTGGGGATTGTTTTGTTATGTTGTGTGATAAAAAGATTTTTAAATTAAATCCTAAGGCTAGTGTCATATCAAATTATTGAATTCTTTCAAACGAGTTCAAACTCGTTTAAAAAATTCAATATGACATGGACATGAATGTAAGATACTCTATTTATGTTTTCCATTAGGCTTCATTTAAACAACCTACATTCCAAAGTGCTCAAATCATGTTACCTGTATTCGGTAGGGCTCAAGTAATGCTACGCTACCGATATTCAATAGGGTTCAAATCAATGTAACCTGTATTCCAAAGCGCTCATATAGTGTTACCTTTATTCCAAAGCGCTCATATAGTGTTACCTGTATTCTAAAGCGCTCATATAGTGTTACCTGTATTCCAAAGTGCTCATATAGTGTTACCTGTATTCCAAAGCGTTCATAGTGTTACCTGTATTCCAAAGCGCTCATATAGTGTTACCTGTATTCCAAAGCGCTCATATAGTGTTACCTGTATTCCAAAGCGCTCATATAGTGTTACCTGTATTCCAAAGCGCTCATATAGTGTTACCTGTATTCCAAAGCGCTCATATAGTGTTACCTGTATTCCAAAGCGCTCATATAGTGTTACCTGTATTCCAAAGCGCTCATATAGTGTTACCTGTATTCCAAAGCGCTCATATAGTGTTACCTGTATTCCAAAGCGTTCATAGTGTTACCTGTATTCCAAAGCGCTCATATAGTGTTTCCTGTATTCCAAAGCGCTCATATAGTGTTACCTGTATTCCAAAGCGCTCATATACATGTAATGTTACCTGTATTCCAAAGCGCTCATATAGTGCTACCTGTGTTTTAAAGCGCTCAGTTTGTGTTACCTGTATTCTAAAGCACTCGGATTGTGTTACCTGTATTCTAAAGCACTCGGATTGTGTTACCGTTATTCCAAAGCGCTCATATAGTGTTACCTGTATTCCAAAGCGCTCATATAGTGTTACCTGTGTTCTAAAGCGCTCAGATTGTGTTACCTGTATTCTAAAGCACTCGGATTATGTGACCTGTATTCTAAAGCGCTCAGATTGTGTTACCTGTATTCCAAAACGCTCAAATTGTGTTACCTTTATTCCAAAGCGCTCAAATTGTGTTACCTGTATTCTAAAGCGCTCTGATTGTGTTACCTGTGTTCTGTATGGCTCAAGTAATGTTACCTGTATTCAATAGGGCTCTAGTTATGTAACCTGTATTCTAAAGCGCTCAAATTGTGTTACCTGTATTCCAAAGCGCTCATATTGTGTTACATGTATTCCAAAGCGCTCAGATTGTGTTACATGTATTCCAAAGCGATCAGATTGTACTACCTGTATTTGACAAGCCTGCAACTTCGCTAGCTGTTTTCCATAGGACTCATAACTGTAAGTCAGCGTTTTTGTGTATGTCAAAATGGGACTACAACTACGACATAAGATTCTTACTTAATAGGCGACTGAACAAACTGATGCCATGACAGTAAAGCGATAAACAGATCCGAGCTGCATCGGGAAACGCTTATATGAAATATACTGGAGCTAGTACAGAAACAAAACTTCGTTCTGAAGCGACTAAAATACTCCAGGTCAAGTAAGAAATGCGACAACAAGATTGACGATGCTGCAAACATCACGCGATCGATCAAACCGAGGCCAATACAGCGACACATTGAAGCTACTTCAGACCTTGTTCGGCTTTAACATCCGCACGTATCAAAGAATATTCTTTCACAAGTGAAAAAACACAGAGGCTCTTCTATATAAGACAAGTTCTTCATAATCAAGTTATATGATTGAAATAGAGACGTTCATGACTTACCTGTGATTGTAAGGACCCGTAGGTAGTTCAGTTTGACGTTAACAGCCATATCAGTAAGTACCTGAAATATACAACAGGTAATCCATATTGAACTGTATATCACACCTTGTCAGAGGGAGATAAAACTGTTAATGACGCCGAACCTATTTCGGCTGGGATTCCCAGTGTTTGGAGCGTGCGACCATTATAGAGACAACTCTAAGATAGTATACTTATTTTTCTAAGCTGGCTTAAGGAAACAAAAGAAATATTAATTAAAAAAGAAGTTTTTCATTTACACTGTTTCTCTTTTTACAATCATCTCAACACAGCAACAGAATATGGTCAAACATATTATTCTCCGCATAGACAAGAAATCCGGACTTTTTTCTGTCATACTATTAAATATACGGTTCATTTTGTTTTTACAAAATCACACATTACAGGTCATGAATTATCAATATGAATGGTAATATAAATATAAGAGAAAGGGAGAATTATTTCCCTGTAATTATCTTAAAATTATAGAAGACATAAAACGAAGAAAACACAGTGGACAGAAAATGACGTTCTACCAGTCAAAGTTTTTTCTATTTTTGGTAAAAGACGTTCGAATAAGGAAAACATAGAACGCAGACGCCGGTCTACATCCATGCATGCATCTCAGATGGGGAGATACAGATACTTTAACCATTCGAACGGTTACTTACTTGTGGTAAACAAGAAAATAATTGTCGTTATACTAGTTTGCTGCCACTACAAATGTATTTGTCAGGGAAAAAATGACATCTGTAAAATGTTATGGTATACATTGGGGAAGACATAGGGTAAATAGCTAAAACATGGTAAGGGGTTTGAAAAACAATGACATGACGTCAGAGAGCAAGGTTGCATTTCATACAGTGAAATGGAAAACCGATTTTGAAAAAAAATGATATCAAGAAATGGTGTAAAAACGAACGATACTGGAGACGAAGTTAAATGCGTTATTTTATTTTATTTCAATCGAGAAATCTGTCCAATATAACACCGTGTCGCTGTGTCAATCCAATAGTGTGTAGACGTTATATGGAAAGATAACAGTTCTTACCTACCGCCATTCTATATTATTATTGGGATACATACAGGTACCAGAACTTGTTGCCCGAAGAACAGTTTAAGGGAAATCTACTACGTTGATTGCTTCATCTTTCTAACACATATTGAGATTCCAATATTCAGTATTTTCGCAATTTTATAGCGGATAATAAAACCATCAGACTTCAATGGCTAACACCGGTAAAGGGAAATTTTGACAGTCTAGTATTGGGATGAAGGGAGTCATGAAACACAGGTTAACGACATCAAAACGGCAACATCGACATATAAATAAAAAAATAAAATAAACAAATAAATAAAAGTAATACATTAAGTAAGTATGCATATTTATATCCAGCATTCGGATAGCACACATGTATTCGTTGGTTAGTGTATTCGTTGGTCAGTTGGCCTAACACATTTCTGACTGCCCGTTCAAACGTGATTTTTCCTCCGTTAATCAATTTTAGATATTTCCATCGTAAAACAATAAGTTACGTATGGTTAAAACTGAACAATTCAACATTTGCGGTGTGACATGTACACATATACCGAACACATTCCTTACCTTTGTTAAATTTGAGTGTCAGGGGTTCTGTGATCAATAACACGTCTATACCTCTATGGAGATATGGCTTGGTATTCACACAAACTCGGCCCTGATATGGTCAAAGTTTAGCCGGTTATCAAATTAATTCGCGGTTTTACGACACTATACAATTTATCATCAACTCGCCAGGACGTATAGCCCTATACTTCCAGCCAAAAGGGGGGTTTTATGGTTCCCCGTATCACGTATGATGTTTGTCCGATGTCGCGCTATCGGGTCCGAGTGAACGGCTGTACAAACACAGGTAGGACATGGGGTTGGTGTGATTAGAGATTTATCACTACTGGTAGGGTGGGGTTACACTTAACTGTGGTAACAATCAATAACGGGCATACCCTATGTTACAACATTCACATTAGGATTTTATATCCGTATGAGTCATTAACCCCACCGTTTGATGAAATACACCGAAATACGGTCGTTCAAGGAAATTTCCCGAATGTTGTGGCCCCCTCGACACATTGATTACCAGAGACGCTGAAGTTTTACCGAAGGTCATGCCAAGCTCAGTGTAGACAAGTCTTTTGGCGCCATGAAAACTGCTTTTTACCTCCCTTATCTAGAATCACGTTCACATTCTATAACAATCGAAAACTCAGCATACAGTCTGCACCGTACGTGTCAGGTGACGCATATATATATCGCAGGTCTAGGTCAACTGTGTTACCTGGTCCAACGGAATGCTGACTGCTTGCAGTCAAAACAGTTTTCATTTTTTTCTGTCATTATCGTTTACAACATAACATTATTTATGGATTGGATGTTTGTAATTTGTAACAAAGCTACATTTGAAAATTTTAGCAAATAACAAACATTCTTGGAATATACTTTGAATATAATTTTGACTAGAGTGGCTTCTATGGTTGAACCAAGTTTCTGAATTGTTTCAGGTTGGAATATTTTCCAGGTATGTAGGTTATTAGGAAATACGTATTTTTTTTTTTAAATCGTGTACTCTTTCAGAACTACTCTACACTTCATGTAAATGAAGATTGATATCAGTGTTACCTGCTCTACGTCATAAACGGTCTGCTGTAAATACGACAAGAAGACGTGAAACGTGATAAAAACAGAACAGAGTTCATGTTAAATATTATGATGACATTTTGACGTATTAGACATTCTAAAAAGCTGGAATGCTTTCGAAATTTATAACAAATCATTAAATAAAAAAATCAGTGTTTAACAAAATAGCTCAACCGGAATATCAGTATAAAATCAATTAAATCATCAAAATTAAGTGTAAATAAATTAAACAAATGCATACATCACTAATTTAGTATGAAATTTGAAAATTAATAAATGAATAATAAAGTTAGCAAATAATGAAATTAAGGGAAAGTTACTTAATTTAATAAACAGATTTATAAAAATACACAGTAAAGAATAAATATTTCGCGGAAATATAATTATCTACGTTAATGATGTTGACTATTTATTCAGATACAAGTAAATAGGAACCTGATATGGTCGTTATCCATTTCGCTGATTTATATTCTCGCCAGTCGTTAGAAGAACGATCGCGAATATACAAACTTGTGAAATACTTAACAGTAAGTTAACAACGTACAGATGCTGTTTGGTGTAAGATGTGCTGGCTATACCAGTACCGAGAGTACAGCTATAGATAGTAAACAGGACACGTGATATAATAAAAACGACGATACGACGCCTAAGGTATGCATGTAGGTATGGATATTATCGTTAATATAAGAAAGAGACGTATGTACATGTATAACTCGTGGTAGACAGAGACAGGACGTTATCAATCTACCGGAGTATGTAAAAACTAAAGGACGGGAACACTAGATCGCAACTATTTACATTTTTCTTCTCTCGGTCTGACTCGTGCATCATTCAAAATGACTAAATGTTTGATTACAAAATATATAACAAACCCAGGGGTCAAGTTTTGAAAACACTTTCCAGATAAAGTGGTTATTAAGTGAATAATTATCATATTGCACACCATGCCAATAGATATCCGGAAATCACTTATAAACTTCGCCATTATTTCTATACAATTTTCAATATAAAATCAATAATGACCCTAATTTTTCCGTTTGTACGTAGCGGTCGTAACGTTAACGTTGCAGTTACAACAGGGCCAGGTAAATTATGAAGACCACTCCTCTATCAACAAATAAATCAAATGACACTTTAACAGCTTACACACCTTCAGAGTGTATTTTTTTTTTATTTGGGAAGGTCGTTCCGAATGACGTTTAACCTTTAGAAACATAAGACCTTATTTTCTGACAGAGGTAGCGCCAAGGACTGCCTTGTTTCGGTTTTCTCAAATAACTTCACGTATCCCAGGACTCATTAGTTCCTGTGACCTCATTTGTGTTTATCAGGTCTACATTGCCACTTGTGTTTCCCAGGTCTACCCTGTCACTTGTTTCTCCCATGTCTACCTTGTCACTTATGTTTCCCATGTCTACCTTGTCACTTTTGTTTCCCATGTCTACCCTGTCCCTTGTGTTTCCCATGTCTAGCTTGTCACTTGTGTTTCCTATGTCTACCTTGTCACTTATGTTTCCAAGGTCTACCTTGTCACTTCAGCTTCCCAGGTCTACCTTGTCACTTATGTGTACCAGGTCTACCTTGTCACTTCAGCTTCCCAGGTCTACCTTTTCACTTATGTTTCCCAGGGCTACCCTGTCACTTGTTTCTCCTATGTCTACCTTGTCACTTTTGTTTCCCATGTCTACCCCATGTCTACCTTGTCACTTTTGTTTCCCATGTCTACCCTGTCCCTTGTGTTTCCCACGTCTACCTTGTCACTTGTCTTTCCCATGTTTACCCTGTCACTTGTGTCTCCAATGTGTACCCTGTCACTTGTGTTTCCTACGTCTACCTTGTCACTTGTGTTTCCCATGTCTACCTTGTCACTTGTGCTTCCCAGGTCTACCTTGTCACTTATGTTTCCCAGGTCTACCTTGTCACTTGTGTTTCCCACGTCTACCTTGTCACTTGTGTTTCCCATGTCTACCTTGTCACTTCAGCTTCCCAGGTCTACCTTGTCACTTATGTTTCCCAAGTCTACCCTGTCACTTGTGTTTCCTATGTCTACCCTGTCACTTGTGTTTCCAAGGTCTACCTTGTCACTTGTGTTTCCCACGTCTACCTTGTCACTTGTGTTTCCCATGTCTACCTTGTCACTTGTGTTTCCCAGGTCTACCTCGTCACTTATGTTTCCCATGTCTACCTTGTAACTTGTGTTTCCCAGGTCTACCTTGTCACTTGTGTCTCCCATGTCTACCTTGTAACTTGTGTTTCCCATGTCTACCTTGTCACTTGTGTTTCCCAGGTCTACCTTGTCACTTATGTTTCCCAAATCTACCCTGTCACTTGTGTTTCCTATGTCTACCCTGTCACTTGTGTTTCCAAGGTCTACCTTGTCACTTGTGTTTCCTATGTCTACCTTGTCACTTATGTTTCCCATGTCTTCCTTGTCACTTGTGTCTCCCAGGTCTACCTTGTCACTTGTGTTTCCCAGGTCTCCCTTGTCACTTGTGTTTCCCAAATCTCCCTTGTCACTTGTGTTTCCTATGTCTACCTTGCCACTTGTGTTTCCCAGGTCTACCTTGTCACTTGTGTCTCCCATGTCTACCCTGTCACTTGTGTTTCCCAGGTCTACCTTGTCACATGTGTTTCCCAAATCTACCTTGTCACTTGTGTTTCCTATGTCTACCTTGTCACTTGTGTTTCCTATGTCTACCTTGTCACTTATGTTTCCCATGTCTACCTTGTCACTTGTGTTTCCCAGGTCTACCTGGTCACTTGTGTTTACCAGGTCTACCTTGTCACTTGTGTCTCCCATGTCTACCCTGTCACTTGTGTTTCCCAAATCTACCTTGTCACTTGTGTTTCCTATGTCTACCTTGTCCCTTATGTTTCCCATGTCTACCTTGCCACTTGTGTTTCCCAGGTCTACCTTGTCCCTTGTGTTTCCCAAATCTACCTTGTCACTTGTGTTTCCTATGTCTACCTTGTCACTTATGTTTCCCATGTCTACCTTGTCACTTGTGTTTCCCAGGTCTACCTGGTCACTTGTGTTTACCAGGTCTACCTTGTCACTTGTGTCTCCCATGTCTACCTTGTAACTTGTGTTTCCCCTGTCTACCTTGTCACTTGTGTTTCCCAGGTCTACCTCGTCACTTATGTTTCCCATGTCTTCCTTGTCACTTGTGTCTCCCAGGTCTACCTTGTCACTTGTGTTTCCCAGGTCTACCTGGTCACTTGTGTTTACCAGGTCTACCTTGTCACTTGTGTTTCCCATGTCTACGTTGTCACTTGTGTTTCCCATGTCTACCTTGTCACTTGGGTCTCCCATGTCTACCCTGTCACTTGTGTCTCCCAAATCTACCTTGTCACTTGTGTTTCCCATATCTACCTTGTCACTTGTGTCTCCCATGTCTACCTTGTCACTTATGTTTCCCATGTCTACCTCGTCACTTGTGTTTCCCAGGTCTACCTCGTCACTTATGTTTCCCATGTCTCCCTTGTCCCTTGTGTCTCCCAGGTCTACCTTGTCACTTGTGTTTCCCAGGTCTGCCTTGTCACTTGTGTTTCCCAGGTCTACCTTGTAACTTGTGTTTCCCAAATCTACCTTGTCACTTGTGTTTCCTATGTCTACCTTGCCACTTGTGTTTCCCAGGTCTACCTTGTCACTTGTGTTTACCAGGTCTACCTTGTCACTTGTGTCTCCCATGTCTACCTTGTCACTTGTGTTTCCCATGTCTACGTTGTCACTTGTGTTTCCCATGTCTACCTTGTCACTTGTTTTCCCATGTCTACCCTGTCACTTGTGTTTCCCATGTCTACCTTGTCACTTGTGTCTCCCATGTCTACCCTGTCACTTGTGTCTCCCAAATCTACCCTGTCACTTGTGTCTCCCAAATCTACCTTGTCACTTGTGTTTCCCATGTCTACCTTGTCACTTGTGTCTCCCATGTCTACCTTGTCACTTGTGTCTCCCATGTCTACCCTGTCACTTGTGTCTCCCATGTCTACCTTGTCACTTGTGTTTCCCATGTCTACCTTGTCACTTGTGTTTCCCATGTCTACCTTGTCACTTGTGTTTCCCAGGTCTACCTTGTCACTTGTGTCTCCCAGGTCTACATTGTCACTTGTTTCCCATGTCTACCTTGTTACTTGTGTTTCCCATGTCTACCCTGTCACTCGTGTTTCCCATCTCTACCTTGTCACTTATGTTTCCCAGGTCTACCTTGTCACTTGTGTTTCCCATGTCTACCCTGTCACTTATGTTTCCCACGTCTACCTTGTCACTTGTGTTTCCCACGTCTACCTTGTCACTTATGTTTCCCAAATCTACCTTGTCACTTGTGTTTCCCAAGACTGCATGGTATTTTTCAGTTTCAAAATGTTCAAACTATTCTAATTTTTCTAACATATCGCCAATAAAATAACATTTTAAACTTATTTTGAATGTACATTTAAGCGAACAGAGTGTATTTTTATTTCGGTTATTGATCTCATTCCATTGGATAGATATATTAATTGTACTCGTTGGTTATGTAGGTTAAAACCTGAGAACCTTTGATAAGAAAGTAGATTCGTTCTTTATAATAAAAAAGCAAGTCATTAACGTAACGGCTGATCAGGACAGGATATGGAAATGGAACTTTTACATACAATTGTTTCTTGATACACTCCTGATCTTGTGATATATATCAACAGTAAACACTACAACAAGCAAGCTAATCGTGACAATAGCACTTTAACCAACAATAGTGTACATACATACCTTATTTGACATAAACAATGTGCATGGTCAATACGACGTTTGTAAGATTGTGGACAGATACTTTTGCGCAGGTGTGATCCTGGTCATTGCGGCGTTTGTAAGACTTATAAACTCGAGATCTGATGTGACCTTTGAGTGTCTAGTCAACGCGATACTTATAAAACATATAGACTGTGGATCTACTGTGACCTCGTGGTGTCCGGCCAACACGATGTTTGTAATTGATGAAACTGTCCAGCCTCGTTTACAACAACGTGACAGTACCGCGCCAACGCAATAACTAGAAACTTGGTCAACACATGTACACTCGATATCATGAAACGATCTTGTCGAATATTACTCGTATCACTTCACATCACTTAGTGGGTAACTGTGTATCAACGCTGTATGCTCGTCCCTCCAATTAAAGAATACATATCCTGGTTACCTTCCCATGAAATCACCTGTGCACACCTGTTGATACTGCGTACACCTGTTGATACTGCGCATGTGCGCCAGGAAGCAGCACCTGTTCCCTAATTACAGAATAAGGATGTTGAGACGGTACGTGAGTAATTGCAGTCCCGATCAGATCGATACCTGCAGCAAAGCCAACTATAAATAGGACAGGCCGATTGTAAACAATGGTCGTACATACAGGTGTGTTCGGCACGCACGTGTAGTGAGTCATTAGGGCCCGCGCGGACGAAAGGGAGTGAATATAATTATCCGACACACGATTAATGGAAAGAGGCAGATTGTAGATGACAGACATTTGTACAGTGTACTATTCTTGCCGTTATGTTACCACTATCGGTGAACTCTTTAACACTTACACCAGGTGTTCATATCTCAAGTTTTACCTGTACATAGTTGACAAAGAAACTCATTGTTTTAAGATGTTGGTTTATATTCACACGTTTGTGTATTTAATCGTAGGCATTCTTGTACATTTACACAAACGTAAAACATTTGTCTACGTGTGCGATGTAATCTGCGCGTGCCTAATTCGATGTGTCAAGGATTCGTGTTGTCTTACTGTGACAGGTACCTCCTTACCAGAAGAGCTCCAGACTGAACCCGACTTTGATAGTTTATTAATCACACACTTGAACAGTACAAGTGCAAGCACCCATAGTAGTAGTTGTAAAAGACAAGGGAGAAGTAGATGACGCTTATTGAAGGGAAGATAACTCAACAAGTTACATTTATGACGTGTCAGGTAACATATAGCTTACTGCTTTAAGTAACAATTTCTATATCATACCAATAGTTCGTCGGTCATGAATCCGACATTTCCTATGTATAATAATTTATTTATCTATTGCATTTTCAAAAAAATCTTTTTGCATATAATATAAAAAGGGAATTAATTTTGTACGCATCTTTTCCCTACATATTAAAAAAATCGGCTCACAAATCGATCAACTCTTGTTTAAAACTAACGTTTTCTTTTTATTGTTTCGAAAAAAACATATTCTCTTTTCGATTATAATATACGTACACTGAAGTTTTCCTTGTTTAGAGTTAACTATGTTTTAAACAGTAAATAAAGTCCGCCTTACGTATCGACTCGGATTCCCACTGAAGGACCAAGCAGCTCCGTCCGTGTGAACACATGTATTACAAAACAAGGCGTTTCTGAAGATTCATCAATTAAGGATGGGCGTTTTACTGATTTATAGCAGGGACACGTTCATATATAAATTGTAAAACGTAAATAAGTCAAGCCTCTGTTCACGTTACTATAGGCGGAAGCTACTTTACAGCCCAGCACATGCACTGTCACGCACGCACATAGCTGAGACACGATATGTAATTAAATATGTGTGCGCTCTTAGATAAAAGTATGTCGCATTGGTTGTCTTCTGTCTGCTGCGTGAGAAGGAACACTCATGTCCATGAATGAGCTTTCAGTTTTCAGGTTAACAAGAATTTTAGTTTTGTTTTACGGCTAGTCGAAATTTAAGTTAGTTCGGACCAATATAGAGTGTTTTAAACTTTTTTTAATGACAAAAGTAAATAAATAAATAAAACATGAGTTAATAAGCAAGCCAAACTGGTTAAAATACAATGAAACATATATCATTTTAAACTTTCCTAACATATATTCTATAGTTCAACATGCAAAGTTTTAATAAGTAAAATTTCATTTGATTTTAACATTGTAACGCGTTAGTCTGTTCTTTGACCCACTCCGGTAACACGCTGATTTAATATTCTATTGAGATTATTCTATTTCAACTCAATTAACTTAAGTGTCACGCCGCACAATACATCTATAGCAATCACTTATATGATGGCCAGCTGCGACCGACTACGGAAGAACTAACTGACTACCGCTTAATACCAGAATTATAACGGCATATCAATATAGGCCATCACAAACTATAATTACGTTTCTGATGTTCGCTACGTTTGCATTTGTTTCTGAGAAGTTCCAGATTTTAAGAGCATACACCCATCCCAAAAAGCAGTAGGTTTGTTAAGTCCTGGGTGGGTAAGAGAAGTGCATATACACATTAATTTTATTTGCCTTACACGTAGAATATATATTTATAAGGCGTGTCTGATGTACGCAAGCCATCTACTGACATATAAGGCGTGTCCAGAGCTCGTGCGGACGCGTGTATACCCGACACCATTGATTCGTGAACGTATCCACGCAACCAGCACGAACGGGCCATCTGTTACACCCTTATTTATCAGGATAGAAATTATAACCAAACACCAGAAATAGAACAGTCTGACTCATGTTTCCTAATGATTTCTGTACAGAGTTGTAGCATTGCCAGCAACATGTGTACGTATGATTTAACAAAGTAATCAGGGACACAAGTATTAAGATATGTAATATAATCACTGTGGTTTATCCGAGAACTCGGATTTCTTTGTCGCTTTAAAAAGAACCGTGACATCGTCATCATATGACACCGACTTCTCGTTGCGGTTATCTAAAGCATGAATAAAGTTTAGTTCAAATATTCAAAATCAGACCTAAGGGAAAGTTTTTAAACTTACAAACATTCCGTTTAGTTTTCAGGGTAATTATCAGAATAGGAATAACGACACAAAAATATATTTCGTCATGTTATCAAAATAAATAATGAAATTCCGAGTTTATTATACAAGTCATGTGAGTAACTAGACCAAGTGTCCAAAGGTGGTCGGGTGGTGCAGTGGATAGCGCACTTGCCTTTCACCAAGGCGACCGGGGCTCGATTCCCGATCGGACGTGAAAAGGTATGGGGTCACCGGAGGTCACCGGCCCGAAAACGTCGGTTTTCTCCGGGTACTCCAGTTTCCTCCCACATTTAAATCACCCACGCGCTAACATCCGGGCCAAAAATATAAGTTGAAATAACTTGTTTCATGATTGTTGTAAAATAAATAAAGTTTATATATTATTTCTTCTTATATTATTTCAAATAGAAATTGTCCGTCTTGATTGAAATGATAATTTACAAAATGCGGGATTAAGACTTGAACAATTCTTTTTAACTAAACAAGTAAAACAAACCAGAAACATCTCATTACTCAAATGGAAAGATATATATATGTATGTAAAACGGTCTAATTTGATACTAACGGAAATAAGCGAAATGACATTTATGACACTTTCACTAAGGAAGAAAAAATAAACGCGGTTCATGTATGTATCAAAATGACAGTGTGAACATGTCAGATTCCGGACATAAGAAAAAACCCAAACCGGTAAGTACACTGTATCGACAGGCTGTAACGAAAACCTTAATAAATCAGCGGGTACAGAAATTAAACAAAAACATGTGCCTTATGGATCTGTTGTATATAAAAAATGAAAATAAACTACAGAAATAGTGTAGAATTTCTATGTAATAACGCACAGTTTACCTATCCAAAGTGCTCTCAGGACCAACCATGAGAGATCCGTGGGACGGTCTCAATACACCGTTTCCCTGTAGGGCTTAAACCAGGTACTATATCAAATTTCAGCCAATTTCTATTTTTTAGCTCTTACTTGTATTTTTTTCTTCGGGTTGTATAAAGTCCCGTACCGGAAACTGTCTCGTTGTAACAAGATGAGTTCTATAGTATGGTAAGGAGTTGTTTTCACGCCTGTACGTTTTCTTCAGTTACATTCTATAAAGTCCTGTATCTGGAAATCGCCAAGGAAGATAATGTTCATCCAGAAATTTAGCGCTACGAAGCAGTTTTGGTATTCACCACTATAAAGGCAGAAGAGCGGGAGTGCTAGCCACACCCAGTGTCCATTCGTGCCTGTATGATAACGTCCTGTTACAGGAAAGTCTGGTGTAACAGAGGGCTGCACTAAAGCTACCTGTAGCCTGTATTGATCGAGGTAAGATCAATTGAATCCTGGTTGTGAAATACGTACGTGAGTTGATGAGTGTATACGAAGTGGGCGTAGTCCTGGAATTGTCACAGTTGGGTATAATTTATCAGGTGTCGAGTAGGCCTCCTGAGGTGTGGGTTAGATATAGACCGACGGCCCGGGAATGTTTTTCTTCTTTCTAAAAAACAAAAAATCGCTAAAACACTATGCCTGGACAATGTTATCATAAAGCACAACTTTAATATCAATTATCTCGAATATTTCTGCAGTTAGGCACTTACAACCGGAAGTATTGAAAGCTGTGGACTATTTGGCTGTCTATGATTCCATAAACTTATGGCCGGAAGCTTTTAAAAAGATTATGACTGAAAATGCAAAATGCTGCACCTAAGTTTAAACCATAATGAAGCTCTACGTATCAACGATTACTTCTTATTCACTAGTTTGGTTCTGCAGTTTGTTTGAAAGTATTGTCTTAAAAGATAATCCAGTAGTGCAGACATTTTACTTCAAACACATTTTTTCCTGCAATCAAACCACAGTGTGTCAGATTCTCGAGCGTTTTCGGTATTTTACCTGTTATTTTTTTTTTTTAAATTCTTTCCATGATTTTAAGCCCAAACCTAATATTTTTGAAAGTTCTCTGAAGCTGACATTTATAAATGAATGTTACTTGAAATAATTTATATTGCAATGATCTTACTTGATATGTCCCTGCGCTTTAACGTTAAATAAGTGACATGATTAATTAAACTGGATCGTTATGTAATCAACACATTTGACAAAATGGCCGCCATGACGCTGATATCACAGGACAGTATAGCTATACCGATTTGTGAACGTAGGTTAAACAAATAAGTTCCTATTGTAGATCTTTATAAATTAAGATCAGTATCCTCACAGGCCATTGCACTCCCCCTCGACCCTTCATTGTGATCCTCTGACGTGTTATATTGCATAAGTACGCATACTGATATGAGGGCTATAGACAGTGTGACATATACCCAAACAGCGTAATATATACCATTGCTCTTTGTATGCATAATGTAAGTCCCTACACATAAGTTCCTAGGCGACCGTCCTCGTATGACCTGTTTTAGTTTAAACATATTTATTGCCAAAAGTAGACAAGGGATTAGGCCCGAGTTATAACAACTTATCAACGCCTTCTCCCAATATACATTTTGAATGACATTACAATAATGACAATAAATATGTACAATTTTGTTACAATTTGAATTCAAAATCTCTTGCTGGATTTAATAAAGTTTTGCACATATCTAAAATTATATGAGTTAAGGTCCACAGAAAATTGTGAATTGCCAAACATTTTTTTAAAATTTAACGCAACATCCAATTTTTTTAAATTTTGAACCAAAGTGTAAAAAGGTGACATTCCATAAAATAGTGAAAGCCATTCTCACAAGGATGACCACAATTACAAGATGCACTCTCAACAAGGTTAATTCTAAAAAGGTCATAATTTAAGGGAACTGCACTGGTGTCGGAGCTTA